CTAAATGAGCTACGGATCTCCAAAACACAATTCGGACATGACCCTAAACCCAAAATCACCTAACGGAGCTAACGGAACCGACGGAATTTCATTCCGGAGTTGTCTTCATATAGTTCCGACTACTGTTCAAATTCTAAGGTTTAAGCTCTCATTTAGGGACTAAGTGTCCCAAAACACTCCGAAACTCAAAACCAATTATCCCGGCAAGTCACAATAGCAGAAATAGATATGGAAAAAGCAGTTAATAGGGGTTCGGAGCTCTAACTCTCAAAAACGACCTGCCGGATCGTTATATAAGAAAAAACGTCTCATAGAAATCCTCAATCATCAGTTAATAATTCAACTTAAAGTTATGCCACTTTTTAAATAAATAACGTTAGCATGCTTCCTTTTCAGTTTAAGTAGTACGCATAGTCATTGAAAACATAAATAGTGGATAGAACTTCACACATATAGCAAACAACTAATAATCCATGAATTTCAGATGAACACAAAATCAAAGCGCCCTGAAAATGAGAAAAGACATTCAAAAAGAATACTAAAGTAAGCTAGTAAAATACATCGGAGAATGACTCATAATTATATTTGAAAAAGTATAATTAGTTTCGATATATCATTATTCAAGTGGAATTAGTATTTAAATAATTCTAATATTGATTAACTCCATTTATCGTTATATTTGAAAATAATTAGTTTCATAACAATTCTAAAATTTATTTTTAAAAGGTAAAATGATCGATACACATTTCGATTGGAGAAAACGTATTTCTTCTTAATTTGAAGGGCATATCCGTTGAAAACTCTTACGAAAATTGTAGTAATTAACATGATATTGAATCTTAAATGATTGATATATCTATTTTTTAGTAATTAAATTCCGATATTTATTATATATTTTATTATGATTCTTCAAAAAGGCCATCAATAAAATTAATTATATGTTTTTTAGAGATTTGGAATAAAGAGGGTCGTCATATAGTTTCTAGAAGAAACTGGTTCACACGTAAAACATTTGAGCACATATATTTTATATTAATTTGAAGGGCATATCCTTTGGGGTAAGCTTACAAATATTGTAGTCATTTTTGTGACATAATATTAAATCTAACATGATCGAAATCGTTATATATTTTTATTATAATTTTTCAAATAGTCATCAAATTAACACTAATTAAAAAAAATTGTATCTTTCTTTTAGAGCTATTGGAATGAACGGCTAGGTCATATAGTTTATAGGAAAAAAATAAATATTTAAGTAACAATGTAAGGTCTAAAACTGACTAATATTGAATGTGTATTTTACAACCAATAACTTATTACGTATACAAAAAACTATAGAGAGCCATTTATTGGAATAGATGAAAAATAAAAATAATAATAAATTTTAACTTATTTTGAATACTTATTATTTCATTCTTATTTCTTCTATTTTGAAATTTAACCAAGTTAATTTTTAATACTATATTATAATTGATTCGACTTTATTTTCTAATTTCTTTCATCATCGGTTGTCTTTTTATTGAAATATATCTATTTAAGCCAAGATTTTTATCAACCTGGAGATAGTTTTACTTGTATGGTGAATTTGAAAAATAATGAAATTAATTTCTTTTTGCTAATTAGCTATTCCAAATACTCAATTATTTATTTTCAGCAATAAAAGATATAAATTATATTTTTATTGATTTAAATTCTTAATATTAGCTCATACCAAATTTTAAATATTCGATTATAATTCTATTTTATCGAATAATTTTTTTTTGTCAAATTGTAAGAAAATCAAATGAGTGGGAAATAGTTTTGTATATTTTAAAGTATTTTAGTATATAAAAGAGTTTCACCTAAATCAAAAAGTTACTCAGTCATCTTCCAAGAACGTCGCACGTCCTCTTTTTTTTTTTTGATTGAATTCTTGGTATCAGTCCAAAGGGATAGACTTAAATATAGTAATATAGATTAGTTGCTATCAGTCACACTTAAATATTGTTATTAATCTTTACTATATAATAATTTAATCAAAATATTATTCGATTTGCGAATATTACATATGTATACTTATGAAAATACTTTTTAATAAGCAACCAAAAACTAAAATATATTATTTAGACAATTATTTTCAAACATTTTCCTTCAACCAAACTGCCATAAGCCTATTTCTTTTCACAATAATAGAAAATATACATAAAATTGTAAAAAGTTGATGAAAATAAAAAGAGACTGGCAAATAATTGATTAGGAGAATATACTTCGACTCAATACAAATTAATAATTTAAAAATAATAGAAGTGCATTTCATAGGATGAATTTTTTCATAAGAATGTGTTTTTTTTAAGGAAGTCATTTTCGATTATTCGATTGTTATTCAAGCTGAAAATGATTTCGCTCATTTAAAGTTTGTTTGGATGGAATTTGTTACCTATTGTATTGTATCGTATTGTTACTTTAAATACGATGTTTGTTTTGGTTGTTACTTAAAATTTATTGTATCGTATCGTTAAATCCGTCGTTACGTAACGACGAAATGTGCCACTTTATGTAACGACCGATTTGGTGTGATTGCGTCGTTATCTTGTCTTTTTATCTCATTTCACCCTTCATTATTATTAAATAATTTTATTTTATCATTTACCCTACCTTTTTATATAATAAATTTACCCCGCATCATAATTTTTTTTTATAATATTGCAAGTTTATTATTCATATTGCTGGTGTGTGATATCATGAAACAACAACAAACGATACAATCTATCCAAACATTGTATTCATCAAACAATACAGTACAATACAATGCAATACAATACGATACATTATAAAACGATGTGTAACACTCATCCAAACAAGCTGTTATATATGGAATCAATCCTTCATAACTATCTAAACCCAATTTTTATGATAATTATTTCAACTAATATTTAAATATTATTATTAATGTACGTGCTAAAAATTTTATCGACAATACTGAATCTCTAAACTTATAAGAATATACGTTTCAATATTTATAATATTTTGATATAAGAAAAAGGATCTTTCCAAGTATAATGAGGTCCATGGACAAATTACCTAGTTACACTAATTCAAGTCATAAAAGTGCTTTTGAGCAGCAGTAGAAATAATTTTTCTGCTTTTGAGAAGAATCTACTTCTTCCAAGAAGCAAAAGCAGAAGTAGAAGTAGAAGAAAAAAAATATTTTTCTCTTTTCCAAAATATCCTTTTCATAAATTTATATTTTCAAAATTATTCCTCATTGATTTTACCTTTCTCTTTTTTATTTCTACCATTTGTTTTAGTTTTCACTGTCTTTTTATTCTACTGCTCTTATTCCTATCTAAAATAGTCTAATATAAATAGATATCTTCCTTTTTCTTTTGCCATTTGTTCTTTTCTTCATCTCCTATTCCTCTTTCAATAGATTTCAAGATGAAAATGTTGAAAAATATTATCATGCATGAGGGAATTTCCTTATTATTTCATGATGCTTTTTCGATATATAGTGATTGTTATGGAGTAGATATTTAAGTTACAGTATGATATATTTTAATACATTTAAATAATCATATAAACGATAAGTAATTATACTAGATAGAAAATATTATTGCTTTGATATAGTAATATTTTGTATTGATTAAAATCTTTAATATATTATTTATGTTTTATATTTTATTGAAAAAATTAAACAAATTCTCTTATAATAAATATTTCTATTTATTTATCTATTTTAAATAATACTAATTGTATACTTAACCTTAATACCGTTATTTTTCGTATTTTGACAATCAAAAGTATTTTTTGAAAAGATTGGCAAACACAATTTATTTATCAAATATTGCAAACAATTTTTTTAAAATTAACTGGTCAAATGTAAACTGCTACTCTTCAAAATTACTTTTTCAAAAAAATATATTTAAATAAAATTACTTTTTAAAATAAATAGATTTTGCGAGCTTAGCCAAATGGACTCTAAAATAAGACGAAATAAGTCGAAGTAACTAAGAGCCCGTTTGGACATAAGAAATTTTTCTCTTTTTTCCAAAAATATTTCACTTTTTTTCGCATCAGCGTTTGTTCATAAAATTTTCAATTTTCACTTGAAGATGCATTTTGAAAATTTTTGAAAATTTTAAAAACTCCAAAAAGTTATTTTTCAAAATTTTCACTCAAATCACTCACAAAACCTCAAAAACAACCCAAAATTATATTTATGTCCAAACACAACTCTAAATTTCAAATACCATTTCACTTGAAAAATATTTTTCCCCTATTTTGGAATTTTACAATTCTTATGTCCTAACGCCCACTAAGTTTTTTGGACATAAAATTTGATGGAAGTTTTTTCCAAAACAATTTCACTTTTTTTTCGAAATCAGCGTTTGTTCATAAAATTTTCAATTTTCACTTGAAGATGCATTTGAAAAATTTTCGAAAATTTGAAAAACTCCAAAAAACTGTTTTTCAAAATTTTCACTCAAATCATTCACAAAATCTAAAAAACAACCCAAAATTATATTCATGTCCAAACACAATTCTAAATTTCAAATACCATTTCACTTGAAAAATATTTTTTCCATATTTTGGAATTTTACAATTTCTATGTCCAAACGCCCACTAAGTTTTTTGGACATAAAATTTGAGGGAAGTTTTTTCCAAAAAAAATTTACTTTTTTTTCGAAATCAGCGTTTGTTCATAAAATTTCCAATTTTCACTTGAAGATGCATTTTGGAAATTTTCGAAAATTTAAAAAACTCCAAAAAGTTATTTTTCAAAATTTTCACTCAACTCACTCATAAAACTTCAAAAACAACCCAAACTGAAATTTATATCCAAACACAACTTTAAATTTCAAATAACATTTTCGCTCAAAAAACATTTTTTCGAATTTTACAATCTCATGTCCAAACGCCTACTTAATTTTTTCGTTCCCAAAACACTGTAGTAACTTCAACGGAGTTTTTTCTTTTTCCCTTCATCACAACAGAGTCCATTTCACTGCGGCGTGGAGCGGACCAAAATCCAGAAAACACGGTTTGGAATCGACCCGTCTATTAAAGGGGTCTTTTTGTCTCCAAACCCCATTTAGAACTCCGCTCACTCCCCTTCTCTACTTCACAATCAACAGCAACCGCCCTTCTTTGTCTTCCCGCCTATTCTCTCTTTATCAACCAAATAACATTGGCGATCAAGCCCTAGTTCTATTTCTTGGTTTTCAGAATCTTATACAATCACGGATATGGTCAATACTGTGACGTCCAGAGATATTCAGGACATTGTCTCCAAACTCTCATCAGATAAAGCAAAATCTCGTGAAGTATAAATACCTATTGTTTGATTTTTATTTATTTATAAGAAATTGAATTCAATAAGTAAAGTTCAATTAATCTTGACGGAGAAAATTGATCAAAGAATTTGAATGTTAATGAACACCGTGGTTATAGTTATTTCCTTTTGAATCTGGACTAATTAGTTTGATTCTTATTAAAATAGGAAGGGATTAAGTTGTTAAATGCATGGCTAGAAGAAGGCCAAAGATCTGTTGAGTTCTGCAGATACGTTGGAGAGAAGACCGCGAGGCTTAAACCAGATGAAATTCCTCATTGTGAGTATAATAAATATATAACATGTTCTTTGCATATGCACTCACTTGACGGATATTTGACGGGTGTTTAATTTTATGCAGCTGAGACGTGGCCGTTTCTTGTTACATTGCTTACTAAATGTGTGTCCCTGGAGATATCTGTGAGCAAAAAACGTTTGCCCAAGTTGAATTTTGCTAAAACTCTTCGGATTGTTGTCCAACGAGCAGAGGATGCCAAATTTTCAGGTACTATGGACTAGAAATATATTTTATTGTCATTTTCGATTCTGCCTTCTAGTCTGTGTGGAAATTTAGGTTGTTTCTTTTTATTTCTTGAAAGTGAATATACAGAAAAATTGTATTTTCTTTGTTCTGTGGAGAGTTCCTTGAAAGTGATCTGCATTTGCATATGGATGAATTCCACATAGATTGCATGCCGATATAAACTCGAACACAGACATTAAGCAATACATAGGTTAGTCTGCTTGTTGCCCCATCCACCCAAACAGCTAAAAATGTTATTGCATGTCTCCAAATTTTCAAGACATGGGTAATACCCACGAGTAACCAATATCTTCTCGTTTTTAACTATCTCAGATTTGTGTGCACTGGTATAACTATTAGAGTATGTGTATTTTGATAAATGGTGAGTATTAGTTTTAGAATATTGCAATGTGGGACTGCGTTGCACAGATCCATTTTCAATGATTAAGTTGATCTTTTCGAGTTGCAATGCATTCTCTTCAATAAACATCCATGCTTGCCTTTGTTTACTTTTGGTGGCACTGAATCTCTTTGTTCATGTTGTTTACTTTGGGGAGGTAACTGACCCGCTTAAACTCTTTGTTCATTTTGTTAACTTTTGGAGGTAACTCACCCGTATCCTTGGTCCTTGCATGTCTGCCAGCAAAATGAGATTTCATTTGGAAAATTTCGTATGATGATGGAACGTTCAAAGTTGCATGAACGTAAAATCTCAAACTATCATTACTTATTAAACAAAAATCTCAAACTTTCATTCTTTCGATGTAGACTTGTTGGAACCTTGAGGATTTTCTTCTACATACTTTTTTCTATTAAGATGAAAGGTCAATATTATCTCATCATGTTAATTTTTTTCAAGTATTGTGTGATTTTATTCATAATGGCAAAGCTCTCGTATGCATGAGGTATTCAAAAATAGAGGATCTATTAAAAGATATGATTCTCTACGAAAAGACACCCGATGGTGCACCAAAAGACATTAAAAACTGGAGGCTATTCCTCAGATTTATAAAGATCAAGCTATTTCCCTTTTCTGCATCCTATCCACGTAAGTACCAATAGAGCAACATCTCACACCCAACGTCTTCTCTTCCGTCCTCTGAAGGGCCAACTAAATAGTTCATAGTATCCAACATTGTCATTGTATCCTGAACCATCTTAAAAGTTCCCACCACAGATGTGTTGCTTCCTGACAATGTAGTAAGATATGATTTGCGTCCTTTCTCGAGTGTTTATACTTGAAACACCAACATATGTGTTCTTTCTCAAGTTTTCGACCACCAGAATTGCAGAACCACCAACCAAGCAAAAAAAACCTTTCTTGGTATTATCCATTTCAAAAATGATGGATTGTTTCATATATTTATTATGTCTGGCAGGCAAAGATATGCCTCTTTTACCTGTGGTAAAATTGCTATTCAATCATGTCTGGGATGTCTTAAAGGATACTCCTAGTTTTCAATCCGAGTATGGAACTATTCTCCGGCATCTTTTGGCAGTGAGATCTTACCGTTTTCACATGAGGAAGCGAGTTTACTGCTGTAAGTAAGCAAGTATCTTTTTTTTTTAAACAGAAAAGCGGTGCCTATAATCTAACATTGCATTTCAATCTTAACTATAGTTTTTGTGTTAATCTTCAGGTTTGGTGCTTCTATACATGGAAAAGATAGAAATAAGTTTAAAAGAAAAAAGTGATAGCCAAATAAATCCAAGAGAGGAGGTCTTTCGTTGCATCTCGACACTTCATTCTCTCCTTGAAAATCCCCCTGGAGGTTTTCCTGACAGCCTCCAAGAGGATATTGTCAAGGGTTTTATTGAAATTTTTTCTTATGTAAGGTAGAGAGATATTCTGGTTCTCATGCCTTTTGTTCTTTTTCCTCTTTTTTTTTTCTTTTTTCTTTTCTTTTCTTTTTATTTTTTTTTCTTCCAATTTTTAATTGTTTCGCATTCCACTGAACTCTTTACTATTGTGGTTTAGGGATGAAGGGAAGATTTCACGCAAGCTAATCGAGTGCATTAACATATACTTGCTGAAGGATGGCCCAAATTTGGGTTCTAAATCCCTGGAAATCCATGATGCTCTGCATCATTTTGTCTTCCGATGTTGGATGACAACTCGTGATCGTGGTTTAAAGGTGTACAATTTTATGAGATGCAGTACTTCATGCCTATACCTATGCATCTGACAATAATTTCTAATGTCCATCTCTTCTTTTATAGGATTCACTTGTTCTTTATGCAAGGCTACAACTAAATTTGACGAGAGATTTTGCTGATGGGAGCTCTTTATTAGAACAACTTCAGGATGTACTAGGGAAGGAATTAGATCAAATGAGCAGTTGGACCTTCAATTTACCCTGGTTTGTACTGTTCAATGTGCTGTACCAAGTGCCTGTGTATAAAGCTATCTGTTTTCGGTGTCATGGATGATTGGTAAACATGCTAAACGTGCTGGGATTTTCAAAAGTTCATGGACAAAAGTGTATTCCCCCCTCCCCTTAAACGTATGTTGGACACTTAACGTTTCATCTAAAGCTCACCTCAGTCTTCTGTCCAATCTCCAAAATCTTGTCTTAGCACTCTTCTGATGGTCTTTCATTCCATTGTCCCATCTCTANTGAGCTTCCAACCAATCAGAATCTGCAAACTCACCAACTCATTACAATTATTTATTGTTCTTCTTTATTCATTTTGGATGTCTGATTTTTGTTCAATTTTCCTTATAATTCAAGCATGAAGAATGAGCTCTGTTGCTTCAATATTTTGATTAGCTTTGATTCTGAAGGACCTCATATATGAACTTCTATTTGGGTTTTGAGCTTGGGATAAAATGAAACTCAAGCTTGAGCTCGCTCGTCAGTCGGGTTTGAATGGCATCTTGGGTTCAAATGATAGCTGAGCAGAGTCAGAGTGCCCGTAACTCAGCTCGACCCCGTTCATTTACACTGTGACGAGTTGCATCTTTAAGTTTTTAAGTTGTCGGATCTTACGATTTTTCTCAATGTTTTAATGATGTTCCTTTCTGTACAGGAAAGACACAACCAGGGATGACAAATGTGGAAGCTTGTCAAGCTCTCAATGCGGTCTTATGGAGCTTGCAGCACTTGTCTTTTACCGGGTAGTTGTTTGTTAAATTATTCTTGTTTCAACGTTGTGATCAGATGATGACGCTCTCTGTGAACTTTTAACTGTTCAATCTTATTTCCTATGAAATTGAGTCAGATATCCCTTGGTACTTCTATAATTCTGGTATTGTTATAGATTTTGGAAGGTTGATATCTGTATGTCAGATTCTTCGATTGTGGATCTAATGCGCATTTTTTGTCCCCTTAAAAAGTTCTTAACATTTGTAAACAACTAGAGGTAACTAGGATGGCGTACTAACTCCGTGATTATGATTATCAGGCATGTCTTAACACACCTATAGCATCGTCATCTGAGAAACGACTTAGAAGGGAGCATGTTGTAGTCCAGATAAGGGAGAGGCTCTCAAGGGGAAAGTGGCCGTGGTATGTAATCCTGTGTGCTGTTCCTAGTCTTTGCCTCTAGCTATCTACATAGTGACATAAGTATCGCTATTGCAACTTTGCAGATGTAGTATTTGGAAGGAGACCTTCCTATAGTCTCATGAGTTTTTGTGGTCTATTGAAAATTTAATAACCAAAGTAGAAATTTGATTCTTTGTTCCATGATTCATCATATCTGTTACTGAAGGGCATCTAATGAGACAAGTTTGTTAGCAACACTCACCTTCTGACTTTTCCTCGAAGTCTTTTATCTGTTGTCTGTATGCACGATCTATTTATGTCACACATTATCAGACGTATATTCTGCTATTTCTTCATGATATTTTTGGAGAAAGCCTCTCGGATACTTAATTATTGCATAATTTTGGTTGTGGTCTGTGCCATTTCCTCCTCTCATGTTTGAGGTGGTCGGTAGAGAGAAGAGAAGTACAATTGTTGGAAGAGTCTTCACATTGATAAGGAGAAGGAAGCTTATTGTTCTTGTGATGCCCTTATTTTTTGGTACACTGTTGATCACTTCCCATAGAATTTATACTAGGGATTCAGACATGCCTGGTAGCATCAATTTCTGAGGTCATTGATACTCCAATTGACCTGGTTGCCATAAATCCGTGTGAATTGATTGGTAGCACGATCAACTTATTCTTGAGACATTCCTTAAAATTATAAAGTTATTCACTTTGTATGTTTTGGCAATAGGCATGCAGCTTTCTGTTACCTCATCCACAATTATTATGGTCGCATAAAGAAGGATTTGTTGATCTATTGGTTTGAAGGTATATGTGCAAGTTTTGAAAGGTTAGTTTTCTGGTTGTTGTTTTGGATGCTTTGCTTTTTTTTTTTTTTTTTTTTTT